ACACACACACATACGTAGCGACATACACACACACAACACACACACACACACACACACACACACACACACATATATATATATACATATACAAATATACATATATGAATAGATATATACCTTGTAAGTAAACCAGAGTCTCTTAGTTGTATGTGTACTCTCTCTATTATTGATACATATAGAGTATGCGTTTATTTCCATGCAACAGTTCGGAACAGAGTGTTGAATGTTTGCTAACAAATTATATATTTGCCTGTACTCTTGCGCATTCTAGTTGCATGTTCTTCTACAGAGTTCATTATATTCTAGTTGTATGTATGTCGAGAACGAGAGCCTATATATATTGAGTATGTAGGCGTTCTGCCTTTTTGTTCAACCTATGTATGGACACATACACGAACCGGATAATATATGCGTTAAACGTATATTCTTCAGCTATGTATGTGCTTTCCAATCACAATTTCCGAGTCATGGCATATTCATACACAAAACAATTTTATTCACACATTGTCACGTACTGTACTGTATGTATTTATCTCGTAGTATCTATATATAGACACATACGTGTATGCATCTACGTACACACATTCAACGCATACGTGTATGCATTTACATATACACATTGTACGTGTAATATAGATATATGGACGAGTTAGGGTTATAAGGGTTTTAGTTATATATCAAACATATGTACAGCAGGCTTTGTCACTATTAAGGAGACAGCCATTCTTCTACCCTTAACACCTTCTAAGCCATTCCAATAACACTAATCACCCATTCCAATAACACTAATCACTTATCCATATCTATACATTGTATGTGTACACCTGTAGGCTTTGTTATTGATAAGGAGATAGCCATCCTTCTACCCCTAACACCTTCTAACCCATTTCAATAGCACTCACTAATCCATACATATATATACGTCGCATGTGTACATCTGTAGGCCGGGTGCAGTGTCGCAACAGGCTTTATTATTGACAAGGAGAGAGGTATTCTCTTAACCAACCGGCATGTGATAGGGCCAGGACCGTCTGTGTCTGTGGCGACCTTCAGCAACCATGAAGAGGTTAACGTACGCGCGGTGTACGCAGACCCGGTACATGATTTCGGGTTCTTTCAGGTAGGTATAGTTATTAATAGGACCATGGACATCTGTTGTTGTATTCGTACAATACATTGCTATGTGTATTCATACTGCCTGAGTTCCGTGATGTGTTATTAGCTATTTACGATAGATGTGTATATGTAGGTATGTATGTATGATAGATGTGTATATTGATGGTGCCTGTGGAGATCTTCCCATGGAGAGGTTAATGTGCGTGCGGTGTACACTGAACTGGTTCATGAGTTCGGGTTCTTCCAGGTATGCAGGGATAGTATATTGTAAGCTGATGTGTACGTGTTTATATACATGTTTAATACATATGTATATTCATATACGTTTAGTACATATTTGCATGTGTTTACGGATAGTTTTAGGTGCATATGTATGTTTGTAGGCGCCACGCAACTTATATGGTTTGGCAGTTAGTGTCTGTGGCGACCTCCAGTAAGCACGAAGTAGTCATGGTGCCGGTGTACGCTGTAGCGGTACATAGCTTCGCGGAATGCCAGGTAGGTATAGTAGGTTTAGCATGCAAGATGTTTTGTCAGGACACAGTCACACCTCCATATATGCAACAACACTTGTTCTCTCCCACGCAAAACTATTCGGTTCAAACCCCAAGATGTTAAGTTTATGGGCAATTATAGATATCCCGTTTATGCATATAATATCGGAACAATTGGAAAGTCTATGTTGTCACATCCTGACCTAAGCCATAATACGTGCATTGTTCGTTACAAACCCATTAGTTTGACCCCCAAGATGTCAAGTTCATGGACGCAGCGGAGATACATTAT